TGATATCAAATTTCATGACCATCACAGTTATGATTCCCTATAGTTTTGACCATGTGACTACTTTGATTTTCTGATGACTTAAATATAACCAGTCATCATATATAGCACATCAAATTTGTAGAGCTGTAGATGTAAAATCATCTGAAATTTTACAACAAATTTTTCTCCTTCAATAGGAAAATTAACTTCTTCATTAGCTTTCACACATATTTCTATCACCCACTAAATTGCTAAAATGCATCCAGGATTTTACATCACCAATGCCAAATACAACTTAGGATCAGACAGGGGAAAAAAATCGAAATACCCAAGAGCGATTGTTTACACCAACTTAGGTTAGATCTCAGCTTTAATTAAATAAGTTTCTAGGTTTCAAATTTTGCTTGCAGTGCAAAGTGCTCTATTTCTTATTGATTTTCGTCTTCTTTCTCAAATCTAGGACAAAGTTTGCATTTTCGAGCAGTTTTTGCAAGTAATCAAAGATTTTTGCCGCAGCTGGTCCTGTTTCAAAGGCAAGCATTTAAATGAATGAGATTTTGCATAAAAACGAATTTGCGAACAATTGTCAACAACATTTAAGACAGCTAAATGACTTTACTAACTAATGCAGAACAAAAATTGGACAGTTTTCCTCAGATCTGATGTAAATGATGGTTAATACACCAAAACCATTATGAAATTAAATGGTCTTATTGATTTTCAAAAAAACATGAAAGAAAGAAATTGCAGTGTCGGCAAAATGCAAACAATATTGATGAGTAAAACCACCATGTCAACATTCTAATCACAATCACATGAAGTAATTATGTGTTGGTTTTTTTAGTATTTCTGGTTTTTACTCAGATATTAACACATATTTTTGGGCATTTTACAATTTTTTGTCATGTCTCAGCTGTCCAGCCACCTAACTGGATTGCCTGGGTAACGAAATAGTATTTTTACCAAGTGATGAACTACTACAGCAACTAATCACACATAATTTCTGAATATTAGCAGTGAAGTTCCATGACTATTATAGTGACACAATGCCCAAAGTCAGCATGAGCTGTGATACTCTCCGTCTTGCTAGAAACCTCCCTCATACACCCCTTCTTATACCTTACTAGAAATTTCCCCTATACACCCTATCTTCCACTCAACCTTACAGTCCCATCTTACATGTTACTAGAAACCTCCCACATACACCCATCTTACACTTTACTAGAATCTCCGACATACAGTCCCGTCTAACACTTTACTAGAACCTCCACCATACAGTCCCATCTTACACTTTACTAGAACCTCCACCATGCAGTCCCATCTTACACTTTACTGGAACATCCACCATACAGTCCTATCTTACACCTTCCCAGAAACCTCCCCCATACATACCATCTTATACTTTACTAGAACCTCAGCCCCATATACCACTTTACACCTTACTAGAGCCTCCCCTCTATCTAGTAACCTCCCCCATACTACAAGAAACATAATCTTACATAAAAAGTTGCCATAAAATAACCCTTGACTCATAACTTTTCTTTTCCTGGATTAAGCCAAAATTCTTGAAAGCCTGCCATTCATGTTCAATTTCATTACAACAATAAAATAAAACCAAATGATTTCAGCTTCCCAAGTGCAACTATTTTTCATCCAACACAAGAATGGCATAAATTAGGAAAATGACAAAAGATTTCCATCTACAATCTCCCATATCAATCATGGCTCGGACAATGACCTATTGAATTCTGGTCAATGCAAAGGCATTTTCTATGCTGTGGCCATCAATCCATCCAAAATCCTATCGCAGGGAGTAATAACCCAAGTCAATGTCCTTGACAAATCAATACTAACTCAAATGAATTGAAGTTACCATTCACTATTAACTTGATATTATCATGTGCTTAGAAAAATAGCAAAAACCATTCCATAATAATTCATTGTAACATACAAGAAAAAAAAAACTACTCTAAAATTAGAGTTTCTGGCCAAATGCCATCTACTTTGGTACATTATCAAGTATACCAGATCAAAAGTTGATGTTGAATGTAATGGGAAACAAGGTCTGTAAAAGACAGAAGTGAATTTTTTATTCCGATTTGCTTTCTTTGGCATGAATTTCAATGTATGGAACACAATAAAATAGTCTACAAGAAACTGAATATAAAAGCAGCTGTAAGATTTTATTATCATATGTACGGTATATTCAAACAGAATGGAATTCTTATACTTCTAGGTTGGGTTGTTGTTTTTTAGCTTGACACAACAACACTTGCTATAAAGGACATTCATGTACATGTACAGTATTACAGAAACTTTTCAGCAAAGACTTGAGGGGACTAACAAAACCACTGATGCTAAAGTGACCATCTCAAACACATTTTGGGCTGCTCCAAACTTAGAAAAAACTCTTTGTTGTATTTGTTAAAACCAATAATGACTACCTGAAATTCAAAACAGACTGTCTCAGAAAGATTTGAATGACAACCCTTATGCTAGCTTGATAGTGTTCTCACACTCCACAACCCATGGTCATTATTTTGATATCTAGCCTAATCATTTTTTTTCCCAGCTTTATTGGTAGAGGAGGACCTCAGGTGCCCTTCCGTGCATTATTTCACGCACGAACAGCCCCTGAGTGGAACCAATGACGTTCAATAACTAGCTGGAAAACTTGCTTACACGAAAAGAACCCAAAGTCCCTGTCGTATTTGAACCCACGGTTTTAGCCTAATCATCATTATTATCCAATATCAAATTTATCTACGTTTCGGAAAGTTTTTTAATCATTAAATACTTCTCACCAAATTTGGTTTTTCCAACAAAAACTTTTTTTAATTTTGTGTATTTTGTTAAAATAAGTCTGGGATAACATTTCAGTCAGACACTTTATACTTTCTCATCCAGATCATATCTCAAAGTTTCTAAATTTTAACTTCTCCACCACAAAAATCAGTTGAAACACAGGTGGAGGGCATACAGCATAAAATAAAAAAATATTATCATAGATTCATCAAGGATAAGCATGTAGCATCTCATCCAAGACTCAAACTCTGGATCTTCTGATATGCAAAAGGCTAAAAACATCTACCATTTAAGCTAACTGAGCTCATCTGGTCGGCCTAAAACTTTATTAGTAATATGAGCAGTACCACAGGTGGCAGTATCAGTGTAAGGACACCCCACCCCTATCTGTCCCTGGACCCCTGCTACAACCCAGAAAAACAAAAGCCGCTTGAACCGGGTGATGCTCCCTAAATAGGTTTTAGACACAGGAAGGTATAATACCTCTGGTAGTGTCAGAGTTATGTCACAGACAAAGTTAGAAGTGTAAAAACAAGCCAAATGTTGGGCGCGACACATTGTCTCAATATGGTGATCATTTCTGAGAAATAGTTGTAAAATCTGAATTCAAATAACAAAGTTATGGGCCGGACACAATTTTGCTGCAAGGTCATGCTGTGACCTTGACCTTCAACGTAGTGACCCAAATGTTGTGCATGACACGTTGTCTCAATAATGGTGATCATTTGAATTTTTCTGTGAAATACTTTTAAAATCCAACTTCAAATAACAAAGTTATGGGCCGTACGTATGTACGTACAGACGGACTAACTGACAGACAGAAGGACAACCCGACGACTATATGCTCCCCCGAAATTTTCGGGAGCATAAAAATAATTCAACACTCTAAGGCTTACTATAAGATACCAAATACAAAACCACCGATAAAATTTAAAAAAAAAATTCCATTATCAAATTTATAGTCTATAAATATAAATTTGATAGTGGATTTTTTTTTATAATTTTATCGGTGGTTTTGTATTTGGTATCTTATAGTTAGCCTTAAGTCTTGAATTATTTTTTTTCAGGGTTGTAGCAGGGGTTCAGGGGCAAATAGGGGTGGGGTGTCCAAACACTGATACTGCCACCTGTGAGCAGTACTACAAGAAAGTGGTACAAGAAGGCAAGCATTCAGAATTTAATCATTCTGAACAAAGACCCATTTATAATCCTTTTATCAATCAGCGTTATAACCATTTCTGTTAATGAATGCATCAGCATTCCAGTATATTATTTGACCTTAAAATGACTTGTACACACTTTCTTGCTTGAATTGTATCAGTCAGTTTCTCAAATAATGCTTGTTCACACATGTGTTAACTGTGAAAATAAGTTGCAAATAACACCTTCATAGTGGATATTCTTCCAAAACAACTCCTCATAAACAGAAATAAAAATCTTTAGTAAACTGTCTGCAAAGCTTTTAAACTTGTGATGAAAAATGATATTCCTTCCTCATTTACACAGTTAATGTTATATAGTTAATGAATGTGTCATTAATCAGCATTTGCCATTATACTCCCTATACTCTCTAAGCATAGCAAATATGGTTTCAACTGAATGTGTTAGAACATTATGCTGAAGGTGTGAGCCTGTGGCTGTAACCCTTAGTATATTTCAATGTAATTTCTAAGGTAATACCATTTATAGAATATAGGTGTTGAATTAACCCTCAAAAGAAGAATGAATGAAAGCAAACTGTAATTTTAAAATCATTTCTTTTTTCCCTTCTTTTTGTTTGTTCTTACACAGTAGAGAACATAATTGGTGACTTTGCTGGAGGAGGAGGACAGCCCCTTTGCTGGAGGAGGAGGACAGCCCTATGTGCCTGCCAAGCAGTCACACAAGAACTGGGACCTAGATACCTTCTTCACATTACAGAATCCGGATAACTTCCTTACATGAAAAAAAAATCAAGCCCCTTCTGGGATTCAATCACATAGAAATGAGAGGCAAGCAATTCAAAGCCAATGACCTTAAACCATTCAGTCACAGAGGCCAAATTAATATGAGGCCAACAAATGGGTGAAAATACTCACTTCTAGCCTACATTCCAATGATAGAGTAACTTAAAACTTCATAATGTTTGCCAAAATCAAAAGCACTTCTTACTGATAACAGATAAATTTCTTACATATAAATCAGTTATCATTGCAGAAATAGAAAAAGAATTTTACCTGAAATATCTGGATCTCTTTTTCTTCAACAAGACCCAGGAATCTGTCTACAAGGAATTCTACTGGTTTCCTTTTACATCCCGCTAAACCAGCCTTGTCCACTACTGCACGAAAACTCTGTAAATATAAGCAATAAATGTCATATATTTATTCATATAGTAATTAACAATAAATTTTAGCTTTAACAGATAAATGATAGCTATGCTAGATTGCAAAAATTTGATGACATAATGTTCTCTGATACATATGATAAAATGATTGTGTTTGTTTTTTTTTTCTTTAATAACTTGCAAGAGTTAAATAGAAAAGGCTGCAAACAATCTAAACAAACTTGTCCATGAATATCCTGTAAACATGAGTGACAACGAACTTAACAATATACAGAGCGTTAAAAAGTAGCCCAAACATGTATTAAAACATAACATTTTTCCCTGGGCTATTGCATCTTTGCACTTTTGTATTCACTGAAGAAAAGATACATTACTTTCCAGAAATAATGTAAGTTATTGTTAGGATGCTTGCGAATAAGTTATCACGCATTTTGAACATTAGTCAATTGTATTAATTCATTACTTTAAAATATTCTAATTTACTATCAGAATATCAAAATAAATGATTTTTTTCAAACATCTAGAAGAATCTTAACACAGTCAGAATAACAGTGGGTTATTTAAAATCTTAAAAACATTTTTTTAAAGCTATCCTATTTATAGCTCAATTTTTCATATCTTAAGAAGTCTAGCAACTTGCTTTGTGTTGTCATATACACAGTTGGTAAATCTAGGTCAATCAACTTTATCAATACACAAGTCTGTTTTGAGAAAGCCCCCAACAGCCGGACTACTTTCTTTGGTGTAAACATGCTAATACACACACACATACTGAATACACATGTATAACTGAAACATACAGGTGTAAAGGATTGTGTGTAAGAATAGGAGAGGCCATTGAATAGTGTAAACAAGAGAATAAAATACTCTCTTGTAAAACTTGTAATTCACATTATTTAATAGTTACGGACAATCAATTTGAGCAATTATTTCAGTAGCATAAATTTTAGAAAGTAGGACTTTAATAATCCTAGCTTATTTGCTGATCATTAGCACATTTATTTTAATTATAATTATTAAAAACAATTCACAAGTCAAACTTTTAAACTGTGTTCACAAATTTACAACTTAACTAAAATTGTAACAAGTTTAAATCATCATTTAAATGCGAATACTTTGTACAGTTGTACAAACCCTTTTTATTTATAGTTTTTAAATTGGACAAAAACATTTTCATTTAAATATCTGAGATTATAACTAAATAAAACATAGTGTTCAAGTAAGTCAAATGATATATTTTTCATAGACAATGGTTATTCCCTATTTAATTTTTACCAAATCCGTTCTCTGGGTAAGTCCAGAAAATAGAGTATCTTGAAATCTAGTGAGTCACTCATTGAAAAAATGTTCTAACCCAATAAAATTTCATACCAAGCAACCTATGCCTGGCAACAGATGAACATTTTTTAAGTCCCAGTATTTATGGAGAGGATGTGGTAGCTTGACAGTCACTATGACATATGGTCCCTGAACATATTCAGACATCCCCACTCCCATCTTTTCACACCCAATGTTCAGACATCCCCACTCCCATCTTTTCATCCCCAATGTTCTCTGACACTGTAATTTCTCCTGCTAATTTTACAGTTTTATGACAGTTGACAGCCAAATTCTGAGCCAATATGGCAGCTTTTCAGCAGAGTGACTGACCAGATTACCAAAAAAGGTATAAAAAGATTAGTACATAAAAGAAAATTTGGTTTAACAAAAACAAAAAATTCTGATTGCAAGCAGTTTTATGAAGAGGTTCAACAAAAAGTGAATGCTTTTTACAAGTTCAGAGTAAAATAGATGCCCAAAACTTCAAAGAATATATTGTAAATACATCTAAAATAATTAGTGAAATATTCATTTTAAGGTCCTAATCGCTATCTCGAAATATAATCTGGCCACCATGTCGCCACAGCTGTTTACTTTTTCATCACTGGTACTTAAAATTCTTTTTTTTTTCTAATCCTCATGATTTTTTAAAATCAAAAAATTTTCTTCATATTCTTTTAGATTATTTGAACAACCTTGAATTTATAATTGAGATTATTTTTTTGTTTGTTTAAGAACAGTATATATACTATGATGAATAAAACAGTATAATGTGATTGTAGCAGTACCATCATTGACCACTGTCAACCAATAATTACATTTTTTTAATTATTAGTTTTAATAACATATTAGCAACGTTGGTACCACAGACTGGCCATATGTACTGCAAAGTACACAAGGGGTTACATATACAAGTGTACATTATGACCTTTATATTAATTTTAAGTGCCTGGTGTCTACATGATTACACAAATACACACTCCTTGAAGTACATTTAGACAAGTTAAGTCAGGAATAAACATTATCAATGGACAGATGGACAAGTCCTATTCAATTTTAGCCATACTTCCCTTTATTTCAATATTTACCATAACACCTCTTGTAAATGCTCTGTTTTATTTTCTACAACATATCAAAATTCTTGTTCCAATAAATATCTAATCTAAGTAACTCAAATCACAAAAAAACAAAACAAATTTGATATTCGATCAAGTCACCTAACTTTAATGAAAATAGAATAAACATGTTACATATAAGGCTGTTCAGATAAAAAACGTGCAGAAATCACAGAAATTTATTAGGTCATTGCATTTGCCTTGCCATGAAAATTAAGATTTCCTTGTGTAAACAAAGAATATTGTCAGAAATAAGCAACATGATATAAGCAGTTTTAAAGACAAGAAAAACTGGAACACAGCACAAAAACTTGAATATAAAACATTCATCTACTGAGGAAAAAAAAGATCATACAAGTAAACCAGCTGTGCTTTTTCCATTATTATTACTTTTATTATTTCCACCAGTCAGAGCTAAACAGATTATTTTCAACATGAATTTTTAGCATGCGCTACAAGGTTTTCAGTGAAAATCAAGGAATCTAGCTTGAAGGCAAAGAGAATTGATTCTTGTCATTACTCCAGAAGCAATGTCAGTGGGGCGAACTAGAAAATCAATGCCGGCGTCCATATAGTGCTGGGAGAAGCTACGGCAGTACAACTGTACAATCGATACACAAGGGTATCCTAGCAAAATATGGAAACACTTAAGATGAGCTTCATTTTTTCCCCCCATTTTAAAATGAAAATAAACAAACTTGAATAGCATTGGGACGTAATGAAAAAAAAAAAGAATGAAATATTTCTTCTCTTTCCAAGAATTCCTGCAGTAAAAGTTGTCCACAACAATAGATAGAAAATGCAAAGTAATCAATACAGAGTTCCTGAATTCTTTCACATTAACAGCAGTACAGTATGTTCACTATTTCATTAATTAGAGCAATACTATTATTTTCAACTTAACTACAGCATATAGTGCCTGAAAAAACTGAATATTTTAGCTTTTCTGGCCAGAAGAATGGTACAAAACAAGAATGGGGTGTACAAAACAACCAGCAACATCAAACAGAAAGCTGCAAAAGCCCTGCAAGCTGCCATTTCTAGATTACTATCAGATTAATCGAGTATGGATCAAAATTGAACCTAAATCAATGTAATTTACATTTGATTCTATCACTAACATACATAACCTTGGTAACTATGAGTTGTATTTAGATGATGTTTTGATTCACAACCAAAAATGTTGATAATCAATTAAGTTAAGCCATAGTTACTGCCCCTGATTAGAATGGAAGTTTTCTGTATAAACAACTGAACTTGCTTTACAGTTCATTATGAAATCAAGAATACAGAAGATAATTGTTTTATCAAGATAATTACATAATCAACATAATTATTTCACTTTTGTAAACTATACCAACTATCAACTTCCTGGTTAATTCTGGAGGTCTATAGCTGCTTTCAGGAAAATAAGCCAACATGGTCTATTAGTATTAGGCGAACAAAGCTAATTGGAGTTTTGTGAGAACTGAATAATGATAGAAAATGACAGTTCCTAATTATAGCACACTGCCAAATCCTTTTCTAAGATGACAGACCAATTTACAGTAGATTATTTTTTTGGAGCTAGCACCAATTCTGAATCTTTACATTTAAGAAATCTCTCTGGCAATGATTGGCGATAAAGACAGTGGTATAATATAATTTTTTTCCCCATCCCTTTACTTGTTCGGACTTTATTGCCATGATTTTCTGCAGTTTTAAGTATGCAATTATTATGTCTGTTAATGAGGAAAGATGGAACTGACTAGATCAGAAAGAATTTACATTAAGCTCCTTGTGTAAACAAAATATTACCAAATTAGTGGACTACATAGACACCACCATCAATCAGCACATAAAACCAAGATTACAAAACAACAAAATTTTAAAAATTATTTGGAATAAAAAACAAATAACCAAATACAAATAACAGCTAATTTCAGCCATTTTTCGGCAGCATCTGTAATAACTGATCTTTTCTGATTAAAATTTAAAATGAACAGAAAAAGGCAAACTGATATATTTAGATCCCTTGAATCTAAAATGCATATTTTGCAAGAAGAAAGGTAAGAACCCATGTAATCTTAAGTTTACATTCATTTTAAATACAAGACATTATGTGAATTACTAATTACAAGAAACAGATGAAATTGAGATTTTATTCTAAAATGAATTTCTGTTAAAATATGCTACTGGAGAACATGTTAAAATGTCATGCACAGATCTATGAAAATGTTATTCCTGGGGGGGGGGATTTTTTTAGAAACATAGCCAGTGCCTATTAATTACTTGCTAAAACTCAGCCTAGTGAATATAGCCCTCAACCTTTTGGAACCATTAGTGATTATAACCTCTGCCACCATTATAAATTTCACGCCAGGCCAGAACTGAAGTTACTATAAAAACAGTCTTTCAGATGAGACTTTAAAAAATACAATATAGGTCTTGTATATGAGTGCTTAAACACTTGGCAAGCTAAAGAACCAGGAGAAGCTTCTGGAATTGGAGCGTCTTTCTGTACCTGTATCAGAATCTAACTTCTGCTGGACACGCCCATATGGGCAACAGTTTGCAAGTACTAAAACGCTGT